GTTTTACCGTAAATACTCTACATCAGAGTAGAGATTATAAACATGATTACAATGTTATATGAGATATAATTATTCGTCACAGACTTCTTGATATCTTCACCAGAACATGTTTGAAAGTCTTACAACATTGTCAATGATAAAAATAATTACACACGGTACAGGAATGTAAAAGTTATAATGAGTGTTTAATCACAATGCAGTAAATTGATTAACATACAGGAAGAAGCATTCCCATCCAAAATGAGATATAGGTCTTTAATATCTGTGAGCATTCCTCGAGATATGGAACAGTTGTATGTAATTCTATCTAATACTGAGATGTCTTCTGTAAACTCCTTTTATTGAAATCTGCAAATCAATTCAATACCAAATCCTTTCTGAGAATAAAAGTGTTTGAATGATAAAGTTCTGAAACACTGCATTTGTCATTTCTCATGCACAATTCTGCACGTGCGGCGCTTGCCCTATCAGAGAAACATATACTTAACCCGACAGTAACTGATGGCGTAGAAAACACCCGACCATTAACCTCACTGTCCCTCCTAGTAATGGCGGACAGACGACGTCGAATTCGTCCGATAATGTTGAGAATTCAAACATATCTGCAACTGAACTGAACATAAATCCTCATTAAACTGCAGTGTTTTACTCAGCCATTGTGTCGGGTTCCCTGTGGTGTTCACAGATTGTCTTTATGCCGCTGTTTCGATTATATCTGCCTGAGTGTGTCTGTTTGACAATTGCCTATAATCCTTTGTTGTGTTTTGATCCCATTTTTTTCCTGAATGTATCTGTATGCTGATTGTCATTGACTTTCTTGTATTGTCATCAGAACCAGAACATGTGTGTCTATCTAAGGAAGACAGTCAATGTCTGACAAAAAAAGTATCTAATTTTAACAAATATGGTTGATGTGGCCATTACTATCATCAGAGTCTATGGTGCAGTGAATACCGTCACGCCAGTGGAGATAGGGTCTCTATTGTATGCTGTTCTGCTCAAAATACGACTGATTGTAAGATATTATAAAATTAGTGCAGGATGCCACGGGGGAAATTTAAATATGCGCATTTCGTTTATAATACAATACTTGTATGCATCTTTATGGCCTTTTTATGAAGTCTTGTCTGCACATTTTGTACAAAACACTGTAACGAATGCATGTTTAGGTGCCAGTTATCGACGTCTTTAGCAACGAAACTCCAGCTGTATAAATTATTTTGGTACATTTAAATGAAATCTCCAGATCATCATAGTAATATCTGAGATTTTAAATTTTTACTTTATGAATAATCATGCACTTATGTACTTATTTTTGAAAGTTTCTAGGCATTAACCAACCAATATTTTAATCAATTGATATGGGCAGCATGATATATATAAGATTTAGAATAACTGTTCACTGTCTTGGTGAGGAATCTTCATAAAGTATAAACTGCATTGTTTACAATGTCTTTGCATATTTTTTATAATGAACGCATTCTGGATAGTTTTTTCATATTACGTAAAAATGCAAAAACAGTAGGATAGGAAATACCCCAATACATAACTGTAGGGGCTCCTTCTGTACAATGCGGCCTGTAATCCAGTGAATATTTACTATTTTTGCATATGTCACTAGTGTAATATATTCGGGAGCGTTTTTTATTGGTTGCACCAATAGGAAATCGATTGTGATGTCATAACATGGATAATTACGTCATGAATTTAAAATGGCGCACCAAATGGCTGCCTCTATTTAATTTTGTCCTCATCATAAAAACTTTCCATATGTAACTTTTATAAGATTAAAAGTATTTATTTTTTATTTCATAAAACTCGTCTTGACGTTTTTATTTTTGCTAGCCTAAAACACCTAAGACCCGTTTAAAAAACACACCGGGCATTACTTACTTGGATTGAACAAGATTTACATGGCGGGTGTCGTTTCTGTTCTTTTGTTAATATTCTGCCCTAGTCTTACTGAATTTATTGACATGCTGGTATTTTCTTGTTGTTTTCTGTTATCATCTATTTATTTAATCTCTAATAAACTGATATTTTATTCATTTTTAGGCACTTGAATGGGATTGGATACTAGATTAGAAATATTTTCAAAATTATGAAACTATTCGCCATGTTAAATCACATCACTAAAACAATCAGGTTCCTGAAGTTATATACACATGGAAACAGTGCGTTCATTATCTGGGGAAACATGCCCGCCGTTCAAAACTTTATCGTGTTCTTTTGTTACATTTTACAATTTAAGATTAGATTGTTTTTAATATCATATGATTTTCACCCATCCCTAAGCCAGATAACATAGAAATATTATCACATAACTGCACCGGAATCAATTTGGATTCTTCATGTGCCCCTGTTGCATCATAATCTAGATGTGCTCGAGTGCTTTGAATTCGCTGTACCATCTTACCGTACCATAAAACTTATGATATGATTCTCATATAATTCCTGTGTGTAGAACGTGAAAAAACTCTGAATCTTGTTATTACTGTTAGCTAAAGAAATAGAGGTATTTACATACACTTGAGTAAAAGGAGGTTTGCTTTAGCTCCAGCCGGCATTGCTATGAAGGATAAGATACTTTTAACACAAAGGAAAAACCCGCATATGATTATGCAAATTGCAATATGATAGTATTTACTGTAAAGATACATCAGAGACTCTATTATACATTTAAATAACGGAGGAATTTAGCTTTTCTTTTACTGCAGTACGCACATGCTTTCGTGTACGTTTGATAATTTCTGATGTATACAAAGTGAAAAGGAATGCGCATAAAACAACACAATATTGTAAGTACGTTTTACTTCATAAGATGATAAAATTGACATACCAGTGGATAATTCTTAAGCCGCTATCGTCAAACGAAGATTTCGAGAAAATTCATGTTGGCAACATATTGCAGTAACTTTAAGTCAATAATGTTTATTAAAATATGTTGTTACATACCAACAGTGTACGGGCATCTCTCATCTTGAAATGTTAGTTTGCCTCTATAACAGTATCATTTAGTATTTCACATAATGATTTCAGGATTGGAAAGTTATTAGAAATTCGGTCTTAAACATTCATTATATTTGATTATCAAATCTATCTGATTTTCATTAATTTTGAATTTGTAACAGGATACTCATTAAAACATTATACCTTGTTAAAATGGACTTGAGTTATAAAAATCATGACAAAACTTTTACTCGGTAGGAAATTTGTAAATATGTGTGTCCCACACATGAACATATATAAACTTTCAGGGAATGAATTATCATTACAAACCACGGATCTATTCATCCTTGTGTGTCGTATAAACTATAAAGTACATCTGTATGTAACAAATATTTGCATACTACGGTATACAATTAAATTAAAGCCCAGACAGGTGATACTTACAAAGCATGCACACCTGGAGACTCTGACAGACAACGTATTGATCTGTTAGGTCCATATTATCATTTTATGTACACAACACAAACAGAAATCGATAATATATGAAAACTTTTACCATCAGGAAATATAAATTATAAGCAGAGGTATGGGAAGGGAAAACTTCTGTATGTTATTTAAGTAGGAACTAAATCTATGGCTTTATTCATTAGAGACAATTGTCACGTTGTTTTTAACTGAAGGGATACCGTCAGATCTTGTCTCCAGTCACAGCTTAGTCATGATGGTGTGATAGCATGGGCTGATTATGAGGACCACAACAACTACGACAAATACTTAATAATTTAATCACTAATATGCTACTTTTTCAATAGTAAACTAATCAATTGAAAGCGAAAATACATTAATTATAATTTTTTTAACATTCTAGGGAGGTCCACATCTGGTAAACTGAACATTTACAGAAGTCCTGGGAACGTTGTAGTTCTCCATGATTATCGTCAACACTGAACTGGAGGGAAACCTGTCCATTTTACTATAACGTAGTGTTAAGGAACAGAAATCGTCGTCACATGCGGTGAAAATTACCAGGCTAACGTCACGTCTTCTTTGACGGTTGGAATATTCTAAAACAATTTCATGGTTTTTTTTAATTTTGTTATTAAAACTCAAGATTTATTCATCTTAAAAATAGCAATATTATCAGTATTTTCTGAACAATAATAACAATGAATGACCCATTTATAGATAGATCACAGATAAACAAAAACAAATACGAGTTTAATGACATTGGTCTTAAAATAATTCAGATAAACATAATAAATAAAATCCCAAAATTCAGTCCAAACAAGGAATTGTGTAACGAAGGAAACATCATCAAGGATAAAGTGTAGACATTGGGTGTAACAAACGTTCCTGGAACGCACGAAGGACATATTTCTGCACGTTAACATGAGAAAAGCTATAGTTAACAGTTGATTAAAAGAAGATCCACAGTAGTAATTACATATGGTTCACAGAATCCTTTAATGCATTGAGTGGTGCTACAGGTGTAATTCTTTAATTAGGTAATATGTATGTACACTGTACAAAGAGATGATTGCGTATGAAACCGAAGCTCCTACTGGCTAGGACAGATACTGATTAGGGATTAGGAAATTACAAGCACATTTTCATCACTCGAAGGAATATGACATAAGACATGGATATTTCCTTCTTTACAAACCCATTACCAATTAGTTATACTATGCTAAACGACATTTATGAAAGTAGTTGATAATATGTGGCGACTAGAGAGAGGAATGAAGCGTCTAGCCCTGTCTACCCGGCAACAGTAACATTATCACAACAGACATTTCCATGTTTCTTTGCGCCGAATTCTTATTCGATGTGACTGTAAATCTGGAGAGAAATGTTTAGCAACAGAGGTAATCCGTGAGTTGAGTGTGTATTTGACAGTGGTGTCTGACAGAGGCCTACCTATGTATGAGAGAACTCACACCAACCCGAGCGCCAATGATGCCTCTCATTCCGTATAGCCATTAGTACACACTAGCGTGTGGAGTTCCTTGTGGTGTGATGGCTCATTGCACACAACGCCGACAGGGGGCGGTGCTGGCTAGCGATAGTACACACACGGCCGTGAGTGTTCCAGCGTTAGTCTTGTGTTTACAGTGGCAGAGCGTGGACGGTGGCGTACAGTATTGTGATGAAGGATGTATCCGAACCCCACTACCTTTTCGTGGACCCGGCTTCGTGGACATGATACAAGGCACAACCAAAATCAATCATGGTTGATGCGAACAGGGTGAAACGCTGGTTCGCCCTTCGCCCAGGAACTAAATGGACATTACTCCTTTTTGGATTTGTCAATGTAGTTGCAACTTTTGGGTGTCCGGGTGTTTGTTTCTGTCCATCAGTGTCTCGATATGTTCATTGTTCCAGGAAAAATCTTCCTTTCATCCCAAGTGGTATATCTAATGAAACAACGCATTTGTCTCTGAATGAAAACAACTTCCAAAACCCGAACCTAAGTCGGAGTAATTTTACATACCTAACTTCACTGGAACAACTGTTTCTTATCGAATGTGGATTAGAATACATAGAGAAGGATACTTTCATTGACCTGAAGAAACTTAAATGGCTGGATATAAGTAAGAACCGGCTGAAGATTATTTATGACAATACATTCCAGGGACTTCATTTAGACCATTTGTTCCTGAACGATAACCCTGGAATGGTACTCTCTACCAATGCTTTTCAGGGACTGAAGGCAATGGGTCTGTACATACATAACTGTGCCATAGCAGATATCACAATTGACCATATAAAACCGTTGAACGGTACCTTAAAATCGTTATGGCTCGATGGAAATAAACTTGAGTATTTCAAAAATGATTGGAAGTATTTGTTTAACACGATGAGTTATGTAAGACTGGGCAACAATCCCTTACATTGTAACTGTGAAATTAAGTGGCTATACAATTTCTATGTGTCGCACGATTCAGTATTCGCAGGGGTGGATCCGCCCTCCTGTCGTACCCCACCCAGACTACGGGGTAAAAGTTTAAAAATACTGACAGAAGAAGACTTCCGGTGCCAATTACCAGTGTTTAAAACAGTGGACGTTATTTTTGTGGAGTCTTTAGGTAAGTTGACTTGTCTTGCCAGTGGTGACCCAGTTCCTACAATTATTTGGGTGAAACCAGACAAGACAAAGGAAGTTTATGCTCCTAAAGAGGTTAAAGACACACCCGATGATAATGAGGGTGTACTGTATTTGTCGGATCCGCGGTCAGAAGACAACGTGAAATATCAGTGTATAGCTAAAAACCCCGCGGGTAATGTGACCTTCACATTGAGTGTGCGTTGGCCACCTTCATACTCACAGGAGTTTGTACAGGACCCTGGCATCGTAGATTCGAAACCTACCCCGGAAATCCATACCCCACACAACAAACAAACCCACCCGCCACGACTGGAACCAAACGCTACCAAAAGCATAACTAAAAACAAACAACAGATAGTTATCAATGCGGGACAGTCCTCCGGAATCAGCCAGGTAGCTTCGAACGAACCGGAAACGGAAGTAATATTTTCAATCATTGATATCGTTGGTGCAGTTGTAGGTACATTTCTCTTAACGTTACTTGCTTGCATCATCATATTTCATCTTTTTCATCGTCATCAGGAGCGATTTTTCTACAGAGACCAGAATGGCGTAAATGAAACTCGAGCAAACAACAAACACCTTGTGACGGACGTGCGCAATGAGAACGTGAAAATGCTACAGAATAATCACTGCACAGTATGATCAGAAAATCAAAAATTTTTCAGACATGTGTGATATTTTTCGTTAACTGTAAACAAAATATTCGTCATTCTATGTGGAATTATATTATACATTACAAAAATATTATGTTTGTATGTGAGATTTACTGTCTTTAACAAAATCATTTAAACAGTTCGTCATTAAATCAAACATTTCCAGTGGTCATAGAGTGCATGGGTCCGATTCGTCAGTTATTTCACTTATGTACAGTAATTTCCTTATGTATCTTTGTTTAAACTAATATCACCAATAGAGAGGAATATTAGCTGAAGAACGCTGCAGAAGAATGTGTGGAGAAATTTCTCCTAATTACTACAAAACTTCCCAGTAGATTCCGTGGATTGCTAACAGCGTTTTCAAATGTGTACCAGGATTATATGAAAACAAGTATGCTGTTTTCTTTCTGATTTTTTCCTCTTTTCCAGTGTGCGGGGAATAGTATGAATTTGAAACTCGATGTTTACATTTGTGATTTCATAATATCTACAAGGATCTGTTGAGTGTTTATCTTTGTGGACGTGTGTCTCCTCCATGACTTGTCACCATGAAAATGGTCTCTAGTCGAATGTCAGTGCCCATGTCAAAGGGGATTTCCTGTAACATGTTGACAGTTGGACATAAAAGTGGTCAAGTGCCGACATTTACAGGTCGTGTGATGGATGTTTCTTTTTCCAGCTCCGACATCTTTTCTGTCTCTATGAAGCTGGAGCTGCTGACATCTGCCGTACCAGATCCTTCATTGTAAGAATGTGTACCCCATTTGTGCTCAAAAGTTAATAGAAAAAACAAAACATAAAGTATAGATTTTATCATCCATGACATATTTTTTATTAAAAGTTTTTAATCGCTTTTAGCTTTTCATGTATAAAATAGACAGATATGGTCTGATTTCAATCACTTTTAAATGTCGATCAACAGACTGCTGAGAAAACAATATCTAATTGCTATACCACTCTTGAGTTTATAGTTTTGAAATGATATTCATCTTTACAAATCGACCGTGGTGTAAATATAATATTGCACTTAAAATTGCCCTTTTAAAAATACATAATATGAATATGAATGTTTCCCAAAATTCAATGTAGAGTAATATAGCTAAATTGTATACAGTTCTTTAACTTTTGACTTGAGAGCAGCCTACTAAATTCATTTCTCGGAAAAAAAGAGTTTTCCTTTTTCGATCTCAAATTATCTTCGGTTGGTTAAAGCTGATAAATATCACAACTTTAATGAAAAAATATCAACGAATGTTATTTTTGAATAATGCGCAGTCACCGTGATCGCCCACGAAGTGGTTCCGACGTCCATTAGTGGTGTTGTTTATATACATGACTAGTTACTGTGATAGTCTCTATGTAACTGTATATATGGAGATGTTACCTATTTGAGATAGGATCAAAGACGTCTAGTTATCTCCATTTCCATGGCCCGATGATTCTATAATATGCTACCATCTGCCTACAGCTCTCGCATTCCCACATTTTACCTGTCCCAGCTTCACTCGAAATCGTCACCCTGTGGCGACGATTTTTGATTTGTCAAGTAACACAACATTGACACTTCAATCTGTACGATATTACATCTACATATTTATCCCTGCGAGAAAACAGCGTTCCTCGACATTTTGACCTTGTCAAATATCTACAGGCGATTTAACATATTCACCTGTAGCACTGTAAAGTAAAATTATCACTGTCGGCACTAAGTAGGTGTGAATTTTATGAATGCCACTTGTATTTATGATGTAAATACTCGACATGGTAGAATGACAGCACAATTTGTCCCAAAATTGCTAAAATGAAACATAATCCTCATGTGAGACATGAAACCTTATGCCACATAACTTGTCAGGCTGACCTCGAACTTTAAATATAATCTCCATTCATTTATATTATATGAAGGGAGGTATGATGTTTATTTTCTTAATACTTTAAAATGTAATTGTATACATTTGCCTAAAGTATGTACTTTGTTAATGGTCATTAACGTCACTCCAACGCTTAAATTCACTTATTTACATACCTACAAAACAAATATTCACGATTTTGTTTGACAGCTCAACTGTATAACTATAAGGATTATTATCATTCTATTTAAAATAACAATGAATAGATTTTATACATCAATAATATATCAATGAGGAAATTTGCAGCTGCATTTTAACTGAAAACGAATACTTCTTTATGGAACAACATATGTAAAATAGAACATTTCTGACTACAACCGAGACATTCCACCAACCTGGAAAATTTTGGTATACATTAGTGATATTTGACATAACAGGTGATATTGTAGACAGGTGATGTATGTTTGTTATACCTGTACTCCCAACCAAAGCCGGTATATTTAAACTCTGGTTCACATCACAATGGACGTGTGCTCACATAAATAGTTGACGGAATTAGAACGTGAGGTAAACACACTGATGTTTAATTAACACGGGATATGGCGTCCCTCTGTAGTAGTATAATCTACTTACACCGATCTACCGCACGTCATGTTATATCAATCACCTGATTTGTTATTCATGGCGGCTACTTCGTATGGCTTCTGTCCGAACTGCTGTTATAGAAACTGGGAGAGTACAATGTTGTCTGAGAGGGCTTTAGGTAAACAGTCACCTTACATCAACCTTTGTGATTCTATGGAAAATAGTGGGTTTATTATTCATGAACAGATATTGCATGAGAATATCCTCTTGATATCTTAATGGAATGAAAAAGCAGAGTTCAAATAAAATAAACTTTAAGGGATATTTTATATAAAAAAAACCGTATATTATCTATAACGGATATCGAAGTTTACAAGATCAGTTCAGCAGATATTTTATTAATTAGGATAAACAATCAAATATTATTGCTTGATTTGATGGTTTACCTTGGCAAACATGATAAAATTGAGCAAATAAAATAACACTACGTAGGCCTCGGAAATTGACATCCAGATCGTTACCCTTACGTAGAGTTAATCATTAATGACATGTAATTAATCATAGGAAAAACCATTCTCGAGACAATTCGATCATATAACTGTTATAAAGGTAATATACTCATTATTTCCTGGTCCTGTATGTCCGTCAATAACTCTGGTCGTAGTGGTGGACAGTATATCTATAATGTGTACACATCAGTATTTACTATATCGTATGATACCGCAAGTCAATTTTAAGAAACCTAGATCACAATTTAAGATATAAAAACTGCAACAAATAGCCGCTATGTTTGTGGCACGCGACATGCAATGGCAGTCTAATCCATACCATATGGTGGTTCAAACTGTTATCGCGGACCACGAAAACCGCTTAACATCTGAATATGTCGTTTACGTAAGAATTTGACAAAATCTCCATAGTTTCATGCGGGATTTCCCCCGTAGTCAGTCAATTGATCGACGTCATTATTGTAGTTAATAGGCTATTATTGATTGTGATCTGTATCTGTGGCATGCATGGAATTATTGGATTTTTTTTAACAAATAATTACTTTGGTAAAAAGTTATTATCTAACTTTTTTGAAATAAGGATTAAAGATTTTTTTTCTCTTTCAATTTTAATAGTGTTATCAACTAACGATGATGTGGATTTGAATTAACGGATAGGCTATCCCTAGAAGATATCAGTTATTAAAATTACTTCAATTTAATTAAACCAATATACACGTAATTTCATTGTCCTTGCAAAAGAGAAAAACAGAACAGTGTGTTAGAGATCTGTGACAGAGGCTTAGAACTGACACATAATATAAAGTACATCACACCATACGATGATGCAGGCATAATATTGATTCATACATGGTTTAATTCAGGTTTTAATTTGAATCAATAATTCTATTATCACGATTGCTAATGCATCGAGTTCAAGATCTGATTTAATATTCAGAAGTAACAAACAATCTTCGCTTGAGGGATCGCATCTGAATGTCAAGAAAATTGATAGAATTGAATTTTAGGACGCGTATTAATATTTTAGTGAACATATAAATCATTGAAGCGGAAACCTGAAATTTGTCATGTTAGAAGAATGCATCCATGTGTATTAGAGGTGACATTCCTTGCTGTAATCAATGACTAAGTTATGGTAGAAAAATACATTTTCACATCTACGGCTACTTTGTGCTAATGTGTATATATTTTATCATCTTAAGCTGGCAACAAACCTCAGCGTTATGAGCTTTACACAAGTTATGACCAGGATTTGTTTAACCATCAATACTTTGCATGCATGATACTTTGGAAAGCTATTTAAGGCAAATCCCGTTGGTATATCGTAGGTGGCAAGTTATCCGAACCCTATGGCGTGCTGGTTTTCCATCATAAAAAATAAGTTTATCGATTAGACTTTCCCTTCGTGACTAAGGGAGAAGCCACTATATAGCCGAGTAATCACACAAGATATCCTTTTACTGAAATGTCAACTGTTCACTTCCAGGTTGTCATTCTGACACCCAACATATAATGATCATCAACGTGGAAATACCCTCCTAGTTAGTTCTCAATTGTAAACGTCATGTTTCCTCTATTCAGTCCATTGCGTTGTTGTCAGGAATATTTGCCATTGAGTGTGTTTCAAAGGAATTTAAGAAGTGTATTATATAATAGAATGTGATTTTTCTTTTCGAAATTACTGCAAAATGTTCACTATTAATGGCATTTCTAATTGATGAAAAAAAACCACATGAACCATGTTTTAATAAAAACCAACAAATTCATCTATATCTGTAAAATTATTTTAAATATACCCATATTCTCAGAAATACCGAGAAAATATAAGACAAAAATGTGTATTGAAATCCTATCCTTTTGAATTCACCGCGAAAATATTTTTGTCTTGAAATTACAATATGATGTTGTATGATTGGTTCGCAAGTACACAGAGATGTGTATCTCTTGACAATTATCATAGGCTTAGGGTGATTAAGCTTCGCCGATCAAGTGCATACATTTTAATGCGTCACGACTCCTTTTAGCCCATCAGATTAGTTAGATATATCATTTCTTATCGGTGTAATTTACGGTTTGTGAGTTTTCTCATTATAATAAATGTATTGAGACATTTTCTTCATCCTTGAGTGAGTATTACAGCATAACGTATCATAATTTCTAGTTCACAAGATCGCACATATCATATTTCAAATAACAAAGATGTAGCTTAAGATTTAAGTTTTAAAACACATCTTTTCAAGTACGTTCCCATTATTATCATAAGCTTCATACAATAATTTCAGATGAATTCTCATGATAGGATCTTACAATGAACAAAGTTTGTTCACAAAGATAGAAATATGAAATTGAATACTTGACATAGATATTAACTTTACTAAATGTCAAATTTGTCATCCAGTGTAATCGTCGAGCGACACGAAGCTTTGTGTGTGAATGTGTGCAGGGAAGAGAGTGTGAGAAAGTGAAATGTTGGCTGGGCTGCCGAGAGAGGCGAACACTTTTATTAAACAATATAAATATATATATATATATATATACAGTTGTAATTTATTTTTGTGTTTATACCAATATCATGTGAAAATGAAATGTTACAAAGGATGAGTTGCCAACACTAAAGTAAATAAAACATGACAAAACATGTAGCATTCTGTTATTTATTTCCATACTATCTTTTTCGTGTTAGATATCATTTTCTTGAATTTAAATATTCTGTCATATTAAGTCTAGATATTCTGATAATAAGTTTAGATATTCTGATATTAAGTTCCGATATTCTAATAATAAGTTTAGATGTTCTGTTATATTAATTTCCGATATTCTGATATTAAGTTTAGATATTCTAATATTAAGTTTAAATATTCTGTCATATTAAGTTCTGATATTCTGATATTAAGTTCCGATTTTCTGTTATATTAAGTTAAGATATTCTGTTATTAAGTAAAGGATACTCTGATATTAAGTTTAGATATTCTGATATCAAGTTTAGATATTCTGATAATAAGTTCCGATATTCTGATATTAAGTTTATATATTAAAATATTAAGTTTAGATATTCTGTAATATCAAGTTCCGATATTCTAATATTAAGTTTAGATATTCTGTTATATTAAGTTTAGATATTCTGATATTAAGGTTAGATATTCTGATATCAAGTTTAGATATTCTGTAATATCAAGTTCAGATATTCTAATATTAAGTTTAGATATTCTGTAATATCAAGTTCCGATATTATGATATTAAGTTTAGATATTCTGTTATATTAAGTTTAGATATTATAATATTAAGTTTAGATAATCTAATATTAAGTTAAGATATTCTGATATTAAGTAAAGGATATGTGATATTAAGTTAAGGATATTGTGATATTAAGTTAAGGATATTTTGATATTAAGTTAAAGGTATTCTGTTATGAAGTTAAGGATATTCTGATATTAGCATATCATGAAGAGCACTTCCTATAATATAAATTTAAGATGATATTTACCAGCAAATGTTTTCGTCTACCAATGCCAGCCCATTAATTTAACGAAATGTTCATAAGCGAACAAATCATACTTGCATTGGCAAGTACGATACCTTCTAAATATAAGCATCATTTTCGTAAACAATTGCTATGAAAATGTCTTGTTGGGCAGGAGAGAATCTCACCAAAGTATTCATGTTTTCCACTTAATAAGCATTTGATTATTGTAAGATGATATATTGTAAAATTAAATACATTCTTTATGAAGCTATTTAGCAAAATATGTACGTAGATCAAATATTGTAACCAGAATTGTAGCTAATAGATTCGTAATGTCTCTCTTTTAAACAAAACGTGACATATTCTCTGGTATAAGTTAGCTGATGTTATTTAGTAATGCTTGTGCATTTGCTGCCTTGTATAAGAGCCATGGTATCAATTCCGTTAACAATGTCCCAACTATTTTATATTCAGCGGTTAAATGTCATTACCCAGGTGCTATTTATCTCCACAGCTGTTCTGCGGACAGAACAGCATTTATTGTATATAAAATAGATTCGGCGTGCTACAATAAAATATCTACATGAATCATTCACGAACTCTTTTTCAGATAGGATCAAATAAGAATAAAACGTTGTATATATGATTAAACAATAAAAAATTTGACAGGTCTTACGATACCGGCTTCTATGGAGGAAAAAGTATGTGGAGAACGGATAAAAAAATGATGGACGTGTCTGGGTAGTTTTATACAATGCATAAACGCTGTAATGATTGACGGACAGTTTCGGAGTAACACGCACCTTAAGAGTGTTGCTCCTTCATAATTCCATCTGCATCTTGGAAAGTGTTCAAAAGCGCTGGAGAATGGTAACAGTCGATATAACCTGACGGCGAGCTTTTCTATCGTCACGGTCTCCTTAGAGACGTCAACTTAAGGATAGCCTGACCACTGCTCAGCTCGTGTGCCAAACAGCCCCAGAGAGAACCCTGATCATACACCAGACATGAAGATAGCTAAAGAGTTCCAACTACACCTACATATATATGTATATAAATATGCATATGCACCATCATATTCCTGTCTTTCGCCTTGTCCGATCGCTCGCCACGCCATAACGCCATAGGATAGATATGTGTATATCTATACACTGAAAAACAGCCTGGTCAAATGACGAGGTTCACTTACACTGGTTCTCTTTGAACTTTTTTCGACAAAAAAAACCCCTTTTTTATATAGATTGATTATATTCAGAGTGAGACATGTTTCCGTACCCACTTTTTAAACAATTGTGTACAAAACGTGATAGGGGTTCTTACGAACCACCCTCGTATGATGCTAAAATGGAATAAAACATAAAGCCACGCCGAAAAAAAAAGAAATTTATTCATAAAACAGATTGATGTGATAAGAACATGACAACTATTTTGACTAAATGTAGACAAGATATTAGGAATGACACACATAAAGATAGAAAATAGATAGAAGTGATGTTAATGTGTAAATTTGTGTGCATGAACAGGTGAATAATTCATTTCCCCGGTAGGATCGATGGCTACAGCTTATATCGTCAAACGGAACAGCATACCGATACCAATAACATGTCAACAACCTTTCCATGGATGAGGGTACTAAGTATGTGGCTGATAAATGAAAACGTCGTTTTAAGTCTAACATGAACACAACATCCGCACGCACTGATTTTCAGTGATATATCTCTGAGACTGACATAAAGTACTTTTACATCAGTGTTATATTAGTGACAGTCGTTGTTGCAGAAATATATAAAGTAATAACGATAGTGTAGACAAAAGTGTTTGCCAAGATTTCGAAGCAATTTGCTGTTGTTTGGTTCTATGAACAAGTATTTACATAATCGTGTCTTGGTATAGAAACGACGAGACGATATGAAAACGTGATAAAAGACCTTTCCATAACAATATGAATATCGTGTTTGAATGACATGTTAAAAAACATTAAGGTACGACCAATTTACCAATTTACCAATTTACCAAAGCAAAGCATAGACTGACAGGTATTGTAACTTATGCATTGAACTGAATAGAACAATTTTAGGTAGATGTAAATGATAATAATAATAATAGAAATAAACTTTATTTATTTTACAACAATTGCGAAACAAGTTTTTCCCACTTAAACACTCTTGTTTGTCCGGATAGAAGCGCGCGATGGGTATTACTGTGGGAGGAAACCGGAGTACCCGGGGAAAACTCACGTGGTCGGGAGTCGAACCCCGGACGGCTAGATGATTCACGAGTGCGTTACCACGGCGCCACCCGACCGCCCAATGTAAATGATGAACAGGTCAGTTTACAGTGTTACTTCAGTGGTAGAGATTTTGTCCTACATGTCTCAATACTCCAGTAAATATACGGTAAGATTTGTATTTTATCTCACGGATTTGAAGTTAGACAGGTTAAGAATAAACTTTTTTTTCTAACGCATAAAATCTACATTTCATTTAACAATAATAAGTTTCCTTAAAACGTCTACAAGTAAGTATAGACTACCTAGTACATATTGATGTGAGTTCTAAGATCAATCAACAAAATACTAATTGTACCCTATCACCTGTTATTCATCTCACAACGTACATATTAATCATCAATCGAAACCTCCCATCCTCTGGTAGCAGTAACAAACAGCTGACAGAATACACATATCTATCACGGTAACTACAGTGTGGGTCAGCCAAAATGTTACGTATACAAATCCCCATAGCAAAACGAAGCCACAAAATTATGTTGTTATGATACACACGCATGGTTGAACAGAGACGGAGTTTCCCTAAGCTTATCTCTGTTATCAACATATGGTATAACAATATCCACTGTGTTTATTTAAATTGCAGCAAATTAATAACGCTCCATTTGTAATGCAGTCATCAAAACAGTTTGTGATGTTTATTTTTTTTTTGCCTTTTCACCTCCTCCCCATATTCTCGATGGATGTACCTGCGTGGAGGTCCTTTGAGATAGAGCCCTGAAGCTTCCTCAAAACACTGTCTAACGTTCAACTTAATCCAGTAAGTATATATACACGTATTTCATGGTAATTCCATCTGTTGTCGATATCATAGTGATGAACACGTGCTCATCATTACATAAAAAAGATTACATGCCGCTTGTATCTGCTCAGTGTTTTGGTAAAGTAACGATATCCAACAACATTATAGCAAACGTTGTCGAATCATTTGCGTACTTCAATCGTTGCACCGATGTGCCGTTTCGTATTCTGGGTAAATCTGGGTCAATTTATAGGATTCTCCTCGCCGATAGCTAAGTGTTTGCTATGATTAGGCAAAATCACATTCCAAAAAGGAGAAATTATTGCCACACCACACCACACCAACGAGGAGGTTTGTTTACCAAGCTGGGGGTCTTGTTTTCTGTATATCACTTACACTGTAGGCAACTTTCAGGATAGAGGCCTAAGATAGTAACGCCTAATTAATGAGCTAAATGGAGATCACAAACATGGTGTCCGATAGGTGTATTGGATGAACCTAAATTTCTCCAGAAACTTTTCGTGAAATTTTAATTTTCAATCTGAAAAGTAATATATGGACAAATTTAGTAGAACAGGGGTGATAATCTTTGCCTCATCTCTTACTGAGTGTTGAAAGACGTCATTCCGAACAGCATGTAAATCATGTTATATGGCTAAACATTGGATCGCGTATAATTGTTCTACAGCTTAATATCGTCCAATATGAGATGGGTTCTAAAACAAGAACCAATATTTTAAAATTTAGTGGTAAAATGGCTGAAGGTCTAAACCAAAATGTAAACGTCTCTGACTTGTAACAAATTTGAATTGTTTGATTTGTTAACACAATAAAAATAATGCTAAAACGAGTATTCGGAGTGATAAGTGATGTAATATATAAGCATAATATCAATGCGAAATGTTTGTATGTAATGGTATTGTTTAATGTTATTGCCCAAATCATGTCTACACAAAAATTACCATATGATCCCGTCATATTCTGAATAAACGAATCAAAATAAATGTATTCAGCCTCTAGACTGACTCATCAGTCAGGTGTTTGCTTTGATATGGAGTAATGACATTTTGAGTTATAATCAAAGTATTGGACGACATGTAATTTGCTTCATCATTAAGTACCGGTATATCAGTTTCTAGTTAACAA